GCTCAGTCTTTTCAGAAGTCTTAGAGGATTTGATCTTCGTCAAGTTTTGACTTTCCCTAGGGGTTCAACTTTAGCAGAAGTTTCGCCAGAGTTTCGCCAGGTTTCGTCTTTCGCCATTTGTCAAAAATAGTTTCGCCTGCCAACACTACTCTAGACCTAACATAAATGAGCTTTAAAGGATTATTGCTGCGCACTGACCTGGTACACATTCAAGTAGTGTGCGTCAAATGATCTATACGCTATTAGACTAATTAGTTGGTTTATGCGCCAGATTGAGGTCGTTCTCAAGCGTCCCCCTTAATGTATTTACCAAACGATCTGATTGGACGAAAAAATTGATCGTGATTATCACTTAGGCCGCTTGTAATTGAATTTTCGGGGGATAAAATTAAACGAACATATTGTCACGGGTTAGTAGGGCGAGTTCAAAGATAGAGCAAATGCGACGAATTGTCACTTGAAAAACAAGTATGTTTTATCTAAATTTATATAAACATTGATATATAGAGCACGTACATGGCAATAATAACACCTATCTTTAATATATCTGATTTAAAAAATCAATTAATTATAAATACTAACAAAATTAACTATTATTAAGACATTAGTCAAAATTTGGGCATTCAACAGACTTGCTTACTGAAACAAGTTCAAAGGTTAATAAGCATAAAAAAATAATATTTAAAACCAATATATTTGTTGGATAATATCCTTACCTGCAACTACTGATTTAGCATTTAATGGTTTAGAAAGGTTATGATATTTCAAAAGCCGACTTGAATAAATAGCTTGTTTATGTGTCTTGTAGTTGAGCCGTGTCGTTATGACTTGATTGGAAAATTTTCCAGAGTTATTAATTCCTTTAACCTGCTTATATAATTCAGTTTCTTTATCGTAATAATTATGACGAAATTGGTTTAGCGTATTGGCTAATTCTTCAGCAGTCTGCCGGTATTGAGGTTCAGCATCTAAGCATTTATTCATCAAATCTAAAAGTAGTCTGGGAACTTCACATCTAATTTCAGGTCTAT